GGGAAGTAGTATTCGGTTCTAAGGATATGGTTTGAGAGCTACTGGCACATATGCAGGACTGTATGCTGTTTGACTGTCACCCTGAAAATGAGTGAGAGAACTTCTAGCTGTGATGTTAAAGCTTATTTAATATTTTTTAGCAATTTGGAGCATTGTAACATTCCTGGTGTTTGCCCTACTGGCTTTATTTTAGCTACACCTCTGAAGAAACGTATCTGTCCAGCATGTGAAATATTATGCAGTAGTGAAGAAAAATATGCCATCTGTGTTTTACAGCTGATCATCTGTTTTCAGCTTCTCTTGTTTTTCGCTGAGTCGCCTGAAGCAAGACATAGCCTGAATTAACTGAAGCAGGCTTTGAAATCTTGAGAATTTCCATGATCATTCTGAAAGCTTTTGTAAGCTCTTGAAAATATTTGGAAAAATAACTTGACACTTGTTTTGTAATTAAACACACACTTGTCAGTCTCCGCGCCTAGAAGCTTGCTTTGCGTAATCATTTTAGGGATTCATAAATCTACCCTTGTTTGAGAAGGAGAGGGTGAGATAGTCTTGCTTTAAAAAAAAATCCCCCCATAAATAAAAGACCTGGACAGCCTCAGTAAGGTGGAATTTACTTTGTACCCTGCTTAAGAGACTGTGTACAACGTCTTGCTGTTAGCTTATCCGAGCAGAATGGGGCTGCTAGGGAAATCCCGTGTCTTACAGCTGCCTCATACCAGGAGAGACGTCAGTGTGGACACGTACAGTTCACGTGCTTAGCTGGCCCGGTGAGACGGAGCTCGTGGAAGTGTGCCTGCTGGCGGCCTCCTTGCAAGTGCCGCACTCTGCTTGCTCTGCGCGAAGGCTTCCAGCGTGTTGCTGAGTACAATTAATAAATAATCCAGAGGCAAAGAAGTGGTTCGTTTGTTTTCCCCTGCCTGGTTGCACTGGCCACTGGCTCAAAGCCTAAGCTACTTTGCTAGAAAATTTAGCGATTTCTCCTGCACGTGTTAACTGCTTCTCTCACAAGTGGTCTCTGCGCCGCCTGATGCGAGCTGCGCTCTGATCCCCTCTGCCATCATCCTGTTAGGCACATGCGCCCTGTGATCTCTGCACGCAGGAAGCAAATAAATATGTTGTCCCTTTCCAGCGCATCCTTTCTCTTTTCCCTAATTGTTGTGATCAACATACCACTTAGGCTAATTGTTTGTCTCCCTGTGCTCTGGGAATAGAGGGATGAGAGTTCCTGTAACACCACCGTGTTCCCGGGATGGCAAGCACCCCGCCCTGCCGAGTCTGCAGGGGCTCGCAAGAGGCTCTGCCTTTCTTGAAGAGACTAATCTTGAAACACTGGAATTAAAGAGGAGTCAACATTTATTTGAATTAAATAAAGAACAGTTAAAGCCAAAATGCTGAAACCCGGGGTTTCTGTATCCGGTGAGGGGGAGAAAACAACCTGGGCCTGAGAAGCGGGCTGAAAACAGGGCGGTGGCTGTCAGTACGTAACCTCCAATACTGCAGTTCTCCAAGCTCAGGCTCTTCTCTAAAACCGCAAAAAAATTGAATACAATATTCATTACTATTTAGGCTTCCTGCACCCCTCCCTTTCTGGGATTCAGTACTGAAGCTTAAACCGAAATCTTTATGAATAAGCCAATAAAAAAATACCCACGCACACACAGCTGAGGGACTGTAGGGGGTTTGTTGGGGTTTTTTTCAGTAGCAGCTGTGGTGCTTTACCCAACCTTCATTCAGTCAGAAGGTTCTGCATCGTGGCCTAAAGTCTGGCCTAGAAAAAAAATATTGGCTTTCTTTGCTGGATGTTTTTCTGTGGGAATGGGAATTCACTTTATTACTTGCTGTCTAATGGAGAGCCTGGCACTGCTGTGGGAAGGAATTTTTGTTTCTCCACCGAGACCATGCCCTGTAACCAGGGATGCAGAATAGCTTTCATCCTTGAAGACAGAACTAAAGATGCATGTTTGCTTTGAATCCAGGAGTAGACTTATTGCACATAAGAGTTTGCAGGCAATCTATTGGACCTATTGATCTGTTGACTGAAATATTGATGAGTAGCTGCTGCATGTGTTTTCATTGCTGCCTAATGGAAGGATTAGAAAACTCACGTTCATCATCTTGAAAGCGTGTTCGCCCTGTCATCCCCAAATACAAGGCAATAAGGTTTTGTGCAGTGGAACTCTGGACACTGGGGAAGGAGAGATGGGATTTCAAGCTCTAATCTAGTTACAGTTTACATGTTGAAACAGTCGCATATTTTCTGTAGTGATATTTAAACATGGTATCTTCATCAAAAGATGTGCCTCTGCCTTCCTATCCATTTGTCCCATCATTTTTCTTTTGGGGAAAAGTGCAGAACTTGTTTCCCCTCCCCTTTGCTGCTTTGTACCACCACTTTGCATCTGTGCGGTCCTTGGGTCTGTCGTCTTTGCCTGACTTGCATGGCTTTCTATGCCAACATCAGGATGGATGTTTGCCCTCTTCCTGGTCGAATCCAGTGCCCCTCTTTCAGTGGTGATAGTAGCCTTTCAGTTCCCTGTGCTTTGGTGCGAAATACTTTATAGTTCGTGCTTAATAGTTTTGTATCGTTTTTGTGGTTCTGAAGGTATTCTGGAAATAATTTATAACAAATCTACTTCAGTCAAATCCCCTCCCTGAAATTACAGGCGTCTAATTTCATTTTGGTTGCCCTGATATCCACGTTGCGCAGACAGGTAAGATGTATGACCTACAGGAGAGCTTTACTCTTCTAGATTGGCATCTGGAGGGGAGACAGGCTGTCATACGTTTGTAGTATCACTTTAGATGTCCCAAGTTTGGACAAGTGAGCGTCATCCGTAACGTTGTACCAAAGTCACAAGCTATGTAACATTTTCAATTTCTCGATTTAAGGAGTAGCTTTATTGCATGTCTGTCTTATTTTTACACATTCAAATAGAAACAGCTGAGACTTGTTCAGAATCACAGTAATAAGAACCGATTGTAAAACATATTTCCTAATTTTGTCTTCTGTGTGCAGGTCCAGCAAGAACAAAGAAACCACACCGCAGAACCTGTAATAGATGACTATAAAAAGATGGGGACTCTCTTTGGCGAACTAAACAAAAGCCTTATCAGAATAGGCTTCACAAGGATGTACTTTGGAGAACGGATAGTAGAACCTGTAATAATTATATTCTTCTGGGTTATGCTCTGGTTTCTTGGCCTACAAGCTCTTGGACTGGTTGCTGTTCTGTGCCTTGTCATTATTTATGTACAACAGTAAAATTTTATAGATGCTGTTTGGATTACGTATTTCAACACCGTCACTATGCCAGTGGATTTATGTGTTTAAGTAAAAGGGTGGCATATCAAAAGCTGTAATGCTTTGAACTGCATTTCACTGAACTTCCAACATTTGGGGTGACGGGGACTAAAATTATATATTTTAAGCAAAGTCAGCAGTGTCCTACTACATCTTTGAAGGGCAAAAAAAGAGATGTTTGTAATATAATGGTGTCCAATGTACTGTTTTCTGCACTCTTGGGGCCTTAGTCCAAGGATTGGCTTTTTGTCCCCCCCGCCAATGTTCTTGCTTTGTATAGTGAAAATTTCCTGTCTGGTTTTAAGAGGACACTTGATGTGAGCGTCCTGTTTCACTGTTGGGGGGGGCTCATGTGCTGTTTGTTCCCTGAATGTGCACAGTTTGCTGTTTTTTTTGCTGAAAAGCTAAATCTGCACAAGGGAGGTTTGCTAACAAACCTACAATGACAAACGTTCATAAGGTGAATACAACTTCCCAACACAAAAGCATCTTTGGTTAATGTAGCTTATAGCAAGCTTTCCCGCAGGAAACAAGCTATGCCAGCAAAGTGCTTTTATACTAATATTAGTGACTTCACACAAGGCTTCAGCTGTTGTTTAGGAGGAATTGCAGTCCTATATTGGCCAAATGGTCTAACATAGCTCTACCTTGTTTATGGAAATGTACTCGGCTCCTGCTGCTGTCTTTCCTTCTTTTTTTTTTTTTTAATACTTGCTCTTTTCCCCAGCCTTCCTTCTGAAGATAAATATTTGGATAATTCATGGACTTCGTAGGTAGTTGCAGCTGCAGTGTTGGAGAGTTGCCATTCCAGATGTCAATGCTAAAATATTGTCTGCTTCCCCTGGGTCGTGTGTGAAGTGTCTGAACAGCCAGAAAGATATCAGACCAGATCTCTCAACGCTTCCCTAATTTGCTGCAGTGTGGACCCAACACGAGCTAGAAGCTTTGTGTACGTAAGCAAATCAGACCTGTTTCCTCATGCAAGGCAAGAATGTAGTTGAAATCAGGTGGTGATTTTATTTAGTAGTCTTAACTGATTGATTTCCACGCTAGGCAACAAAAATGCGTATCCATAGGTGCATGTCATGGGCAACACAAATTGGAGAAATAGGATATATACATTCAAGAGTAAGTGCAAAATTCACTCTGGCTCCCCAGGAGCCACACCAAGGGTGTATTGAATATTTCCAAGTTGAATGTGCTCATTTAAAGAAAAACAGTAAAATGAGACATAATCTTTACTAAATAGGCTACCAATTTAATATTTGCTGTACATTACTTTTAGTAAGAAACTTAATTGCAAAATTGACTTCATCTATGGTAGTGTGAAATTATACATTTACTTAAAGAAATGTAATAGAAGATGTGAAATTTACAGAAAACTGCTTAACCTTTTACAGTGACTTTTTTCCTAAACATTTTTATACTAGCAGAGATCAACAGTAGATTAGTTGAAAATGCTGTCTTATCCAGAGACTTTTCAAGTTAAGGGGAGCTTCTCTGTGGTCCCAGTCCTGCAGCTGGATTCTGAAGGCTGATTTTATGCCTACGTGGATCATGTTGGTTGCTGGGCTCTATTTCCAGGACCCTTTTGGCCCCAGTCCTTACAGACTTTCCTATTAGTGAAATAATTGTTATTCAGGGCAGTGAACATGAAGGCCCAGCTCCTTTAAAGTCTTTATGTGCCTAAATGCCATCTGTAGACATGTCTCTGTGCTTTTCTAATGAATGCGTAGTTACCTTCTGAGGAGCCAGGTCTCCTCTCCAGATCTTCAGATGACCTTGACTGTG